AGAGGGAGGGGGGGGGGGGGCTCGATGATCAGTTGAGGGGCACTAATTCGGAAAATAAGGTGATTTTAGTTGGTTTTTAACTACATGACTTTTTGGGGGGAGGGGGGTGGGGCGCGAGTAATTTTTGGAGGGGCGTGCGCCGTTATTCTGTTATGTATCAACAAAGCCTTTGGGGCAGGGTGCTATATCGAGGACCCTATGGGTTCGAGCCCTTAGGAGTCCCTGAGGACCGCCGCACGAGAGCGCAGGCGTCACGCCACTGTCACCCATCCAACTCCATGCAAAAAAACAAAATTCAAATGAATAATTTGTTCATAATACAATACCACGTACACAAATCTTTTTTTAAGTTACAGTATATCTTTTTGTGTCATTAAAAGGTGTGAAGTAAATACTAATATTATTAACAATTGTTTATTCTCTTTAGCTGGAGAGGGGAGCGAATCTTCGTGGGTAATTTTTCTGGAAGGGGGTGACTGGTGTTGGAATGTTACTGACTGTTACGATCGAAGTCACACCACACTTGGTTCCACTGCTTTCGGACCAGAAAAGGTAGAATTCAATGGCATATTATCCAACGATAGAATCAGTAATCCTGATTTCTACAACTGGAATGCAGTGATGATTAAATACTGTGACGGAGGCTCATTTTCTGGTAAGTCTGTTCAATGAGGTAGGATTTTGAAATACGCCGCAAGATAACTGAAGATATGCTCTACATTAATTTTAGGGCTTGAGTTTCACTTTGAGTAAACCTACCCCATACACGGGAGTATGTATGGTACCATCGAAACGGAACAGTAGAGAAAATCCGATCAGAATGACAAAATAAACTAAGCATCCACTGGAAGGAATCCCAATATCTGCAGACGGATCTATATATATACACTAATACAATTGTTTTTCTGTTAGGTAATCTATCGTTTCCTGTAAGTTTTAAAAACAAAAACATCTATCTGAGAGGCATCCGTATACTTGATACGGTAATGAAACACTTGAAGGAATCAGAGGGTCTGGACTCGGCAACAGAGGTGATATTCGGCGGTACCGCAAGTAAGAAGCCCCATTAATTATCATTATCATCTTCATCTTCGTCATTATCAGCATCATAATTGTCATAATCATCATATTCATCACCATCATCATCCTCATTATCATCATCATCATAACCATCATCATCATACTCATCACCATCATCATCGTCATCATCATCATCATCATCATCATAACCATCATCATCATACTCATCACCATCATCATCATCATAACCATCATCATCATCATCATCATCATCCACCATCATCATAACCATCATCATCATAACCATCATCATCACCATCATCATCATCACCATCATCATCATCATCATCATCATCATTATCATCATCATCATCATCATCATTCATCATCATCATCATCATTATTATTATTAATATTATTATTATTATTATTATTATTATAGTATTATAACTTAATAATTTACCATTTATCGTTTATATGATTTTGAATGTCCTTTACTACATGTTGTTTTTATATTTACTCAATTAGTAATTTTAATGTTCAATTTTAACTTTCACAATTTTTTCAATTTTTTATTTTAAATTGGCCTATGTTTACCTATTTTATATATTTTACTATATATTCTATACCTTGCCAGATCACTATCTGTAAATATTCGCTCTTGTGCAATAATTACCATGGCTTCTGGACCCCATTGGAAATAAGTCTGGTGTACAATCACTAGACTTAATGGGTCATCCATGCATTCAATTAATTATTCATCTCCCTTTTTTATGTTCGTTCTCAAAATGTTATTGTTATGTGTGCGATATTTAATGCAAAATAAATCAAATCAAATCAAAGGTATTTGTTGTGATGCTTTTTCATCAGGTGGAGGATTAGCTGTATTTGCTCATGCAGATCACATCCGCCAAAAGTTCGACCCTAGTGTAAAGTTCCATGCTTTGGCGGACGGGGGCTACCTACCGATGATAAGGAACTCATCTAACTACCAAAATTTCATGGTTTCGCTTCAAAGAGTTTATAATCTTCATCAGGTTTTAACAGGTAATAATATTGTTTCACATGCATTAGGAAATGAAAATTACATTCTGCCATCTCTCATGCGAAGGTAGTATTTGTCTGTAATAAGCCTAATTGAATTTAGCATTTCTGTTGCATAATCAACATATACGAGGTGTTTGCAAAATTAAACGAGTTTGCAAGTCGTCTGCCACAAATAATAGCTAGAAGTTAAAAGCATTGTTTACAGTACATTGCGGTCTTAGAAAGTGTAATAAGAAGTTGTACGTCATCGCTGCTTTGGATTTACCTTTTTAGATTTTCTTCATCATTATCAGATGTTTTGTTATAAAATACACTATGATAATTGAATATTATTTCATTATCAATAAACATACAAAGGGAGGCATACATTATATAAGTAAACTGCTCTCCTAAAATGTCAAAAATACTAAGGGAATTTAAAGATATAGTTGATATTCTAAAAAAAATTCTAGTAATATAATACAAGTTTCTGTAGTTTAAATTGAAAGACATTAAACAGAGTATATAGCAAAAATAAGAGTTAAGCCCATGGAAGATCGGATTGTACTTCTACCCAAATTAGAATAAAAAAACATTTAATATTAGTAGACAATGTTTAAAATGGGGGATCCAGCAACTGGACGGGGACCAGGGACTTTCAAAGTGGAGGGTCTAGACCACCAGTCCCACCATGGATGGGACTGAGGTAAGAACATTTATGATTATGGCACCTGGTGGCTGGAAATGGCACTTCAAAATAATTAATATGAATATATTTTTTTTTCTTTTTCTCCATTGTTCTTATAATATTGAAAACATAGGGGGTCTGGTGAAATTTAGGGCCTAGTTGTTCATTACAAAGGTAAATTCCACTGTGGCAAAAGCACATAAAAGAGAAATATATTCATGAAATACGAACAACTATTACGACTAAGTAGATGAAGCCATTATATTTTTTCATTGCTCTTGTCATTAGGTTCGTTTCTCATCAATTTCTATTTCGATGTGAACGATGTTGCCAGATTACGAACGTAATGTGCTGTGTCTACGAGGCGACACTCCAACCTCTCATTACATATTTCTGTTTTTACCTCTAAAAAATATAAATTCAAATTATCATATTTTTAATGCAATTTGTCAGTCTTAATTCCAGATTGCAATGGCACAGCTACGAATTAAGTCGTACAACAGATACTAGCAGTAGCGGATTCAATGGTGGGAGGGCAGCCCGGGCCCCTTGTGTTTGAAATGAAGAAAAAAGGGAATAAATAATTAAATTTAGGTCTGAGAGTGGCTTTTCCGGCCATCTGGTGGTGCCATAGTCATCATTTTTTTTTTACCTCAGCCCCAACCGTGGTGGGGCTAAGGGGGTGTATACCCTCCCTGTGCCCCCTCTATTTCAGTCCTGGATTCGCACTGTAGGATTTGTGATGGTAGCCGTTAACAGGCTCATGATACCTGGATTAGTATTTATAGAACATCATTATAGGATGCATTCCACAATTTATAATGAAAACATACTATTTTTTAACTTTTCGTTGTTGAATTCGACAGGCTCACTTAACAAGGCGTGTTTGGCATCGAAGGCTCAAAGCGAAGCAATGTGGCAGTGTTTCTTTCCAGAATTCGTCTATCCACACATCCAGTCAAAGATATTCGTCCTCGATTCTATGTACAATTCTTGGGCCATGTGGTACATCTTGAATATGCGTTGTCATCCGTCCAAATGCAAGAGCGAACAGGCCAATCTCAATCGGTACCAAAGCGAATTTCTTCATCTCCTCTCACCTATAGAAGCTTCCAAAAAGGACGGCATGTATGTGACGTCTTGCTTTGTGGAAAGCCAGGCGTCTGAGGACACACTATGGAATAAGAACGTATTTGACGACCAGTCTCCTCAACAGGCATTCCACAAGTGGTACTTCAGTTCTGCAAAAAGTGTCCAATCCAAACATATCGATTGCCAAGATAAATTCAATTGTAACCCGCAGTGTGACTGGAGTACATATGCTTTCAACAAAATCGAACGAAAATACAAGAAGAAAGATTTCTTCGTGATGTAGATAAAGTTCCTGCAGTTTTCTGAGTAGATTTCTTGACTGTAATGATTAATATGCCGGTAACCGATCCACAGGGGCGGATCAACAATTTTTCAAACGAGGGGGGGGGGGGCACACAACAGTTTCAGAATAGATAAGTGAGTAGCGCATAACATTAGTATGCATTGAATTTTTTAAGATTTAGTGGCAAAACGGGGGAACGGGCACGTGCCCCCATGTCCCCTACCACGATCCGTCCCTGGATCTAAGTTTCGAGACACATCACGCCCTTGTTAATTAACTGGAGTCTCACATTCATTTTTATCTGGTTTTTGTATAATAGTTTTTTATATATAATTTCGTTATGTTTTTAGCATTATATAGGCCTATTGGTAACTTCTTCATGAGCTGTTTGAAGGCATTTTAGGTATTCATACTTTTTGATCTAGGAATGTGGACCAAAGGAATATTAAATGTCAATAACGCAATAAATGAGCTGTCACGGACTAAAACCAGAAGTCTTGTACCTAAAGCACCAGAAATAATGGGCATTTTTGCTAGGATGCATAGATCAAACAATTGGCCGAGAGGAGGGTCAAATTATTGTTCATTATTATTCCTTTTGAAATTATTTTCATATCGTATAATTTCAAATTAATTAGCCAGTCTCTATAATATTTATCAGTCTATGGTTCATCATCATCATTGTCCTCATCATCAACATTACCATCATTATCCATCATCATCATAGGGCTCCTTTTTCAGATGGGCTACTTTTCGAGATGGGTTTCTTTTCGAGATTATTTTTGCAAAGTAAAATGAATGCTGTAAATTTTGTGAATTTGTACAATTTAACAATAAATAAGGTCAGTGTAACATCTATCTGTACTATGGAGTGTATTTAACTGGCATTAAATCACCTAAACTAATGTATAAACCACGCTTATTTTTAATTTATTCTAAAATTCATGCACAGTGTATGTACTGCAGTACTATATCTAAAAGAAGCCTATGCTATCTTGAAAAGATGCCCATGTGCTTCTTTTCGAGGCTAATTTTCCAAACTAAAGAGAGGGCTTCTATTCGAGATGGGCTTCATCTCGAGATTAAGCACACTCGGCTTCAATTCGAGGTTTTATGGTATTATAATGTTGCAATGATAATTGTAATTTTAAAGCGTCCACATTGAATAATCATGGACTTAAAATAAAAAGCGGTATGCTTATTTAATTGTATTTAATAGTGTTGGCCTGTAACGGGTTACAAGTAACCATCCGAAATGTATCTTAGTTCTAAATTGAGGATCAAATTTAAGTCTAACATGATGACCAAACATCCCGTTAATTTCGGTGGGTGCGTGTTCTATCGAATTAAATCTGAAAATATACGATCTTCTCTAATTAAGTGTTTTATGTAATTAATAAACGACTTGTGTACAACATACTAATTACGTTTAGTTATTACTTACGCACTTTCCACTTGATAAAGGTTATTCCCCCAAATGACATCTGACAACTTGAATTAACGGGTGAAATTTAAAAGCAGAACTGTAAGTACTTACAGGAGCAACGAGACGATAAATCACCCTACGGTTGTATTTTAACCATTTGCATTTTTGGCGATTGAAAGGTTGTGCTTAGAATAATATGTTTTTGATATTTTTGATATAAAATGTCTACAAACATGTACCTACATCCAAATAATAAATTAGATTTTGTAAAAATTAAACTATTGACGTTGACGAAATTAAACTACAGTAGTATATGTCACTTTAGCCTAATTATTTGTTTGAAATAGTTAAATAATTATATTGTAATAATTTAAAAAAAATTATACTCTATATAATGTTCAATGTGTTTATCTTTTTTTTATGTACTTTTCTATGTAGTTTTTTTTATTGTATCTTACTACGTGCAATTTCCACATCTCTTTTCTGTTCGATGTGAGGTTGATTTTGTTCAAGGGGATGTAGATAGAGGTGCTGCACACCTGTATATCCCTTCCTTTTCCCTGCTTTTTATGTCTTGTTTTATTTTTACTTTTGTTCTCAGTGCAGTGATGAAGCTTTAATACATTTAAAAAAAAATAAATAAGCGAACACATTAAAATCACAATGTATTCACAGATATGCACATATTTTCTCTGGTCCAAACAGATTTCATTGGATACCTCTATATAGGCCCCCCTAATTGTATAATTATGTATTATTACAATATTTATTTTTAAGACGTTAATTGCACATTTCCCATTCCAGTCGCAATATGTGTGATGTTGTTTTGAATTGAAATAAAAATTACAAATTAATAATTATCCGACGATTGGGGCCCGATTGTTGATCAGATATGTATCCTTGCAACAAACTATTATAGATGGCGCTATTACACTTTTACTATTACTGTACTGTACTGGAAAAAACAAACATTGAAAATACTGTACTGCTGTATCGAAACATCCAATTACCATGTAGAGTAGAAGATTAAAAATAAGGTATCAATAAGACACACGACAATACAAATATTTTTTTCACTTATTATAGAGTTTTTACGTCCTACCTGGTATGGTTTTTTTTAAGCATTACAAATTTTACCATCCTCATGTTTGATGGTAAAATGTCTTCTTATTAGCTTTGGAAATTACACTGCAGCTAGTAAACGAACTTGACATTTAAACCTATAGTCATTAGGGTCCCATTACAGCGATCGTGGGTGGAGAGGCAACTGTACATACAGTAAATGCAGTTTTGAAGGATATGCAAAATTACTCAAAAATAGATTCAAACCAAAAAATAGGCTGTGACAATCAATCCGCCTTCACTTTCCGTCCTCACACCATAGTCTCTAGAGAATCTAAATGTTTTCAAGAACAGGTACAAATTTGACATATAAACATCAAAATATGTTTACTTTCAAGAAGAATTTCGATCATCCTTTTTATTATTCCATTTAATTTTTCACCAATGCAGGCTTCAAATGATAGAAAAACGAACACATTTTGACTTACAAAAAGCTTCCACGTAGAATTACACTGCCATGTTTAATTACGTGTATACATTAAAGTTTATATATTAATAATATTGAAGATGTCATGAAGATCAGAGCATATGGCGGCGAAAGATACAGAAGGTGTAATGGGAGCGTCCCCGCCCACACCGACTCCCTTATTTTGATTAATAACACTGTCATAAAACCGAAGAACTTATAATCTGTAATTCTTTAAACTGTGTTGTCCACTTCCCCAAAATAACACCAAAAAGGCTTTAATCATAATTGTTTAAATATCAACAATGCATTTAAATATAAAAGCAATCATAATATGAATATAATTCGAGTAAAACTTGCATTCTAATTTGCATTATAATTAATAATCAATTGATACAATCATCAATCATTTGTAGCACCCAACACTAACAGTGGAACATTTACTGTATGTGCTATTGTCAATTTACTTATTTGTGAATGTTTATGTTATGCATGTCACTATGCAAGATCTGCTAGGTAGTAAGCACTACAAAAAAACAGAACTGTCACACACAATAAGTGGATTATCTCACTGGCTCAAATAAAAACAACCCAGGCAAGTTAGAATTGTATTTAGAACAAGGCGAACAAACACACTGCAGTCAAACCAAGTACGCAAGAGAATAACATTATTAATACACCGATATGAATTTCTTTATACAGTAATAATTACAACAATATCAATTAATAATTTCAAAATATAATCCAATATTCAAAATGTTTACTGGTATGCAATGTGAACAGAGTGAGGCACATTATATCATGTTCACATGAACATTATAATCTTTGGAATTTATAAAAGGTAACTAAATGTATTGTGAAATACACTATACCTAACACAATGCACTGCACTATACTATGTTTGCTAGCTAGTAAGCACCACAAAAATAAAAGTAAACAATAAAATAATAGTGTCACACACAGAAAAATACTCAGACAAAACACTAAAGCAGGAGTGGCACCAACTGGGCCCTCCGTTTGGGAGAAAAAATAATGTATTTTCTACATGTGGGTTGACTCTAAAATCGATTAAATAAGCATTTTTTCTACATGTGGGTTGACTCTAAAATCGATTAAATAAGCATTTGAAACCCCAAAATTGTCATCAACTTTGGGGCTTCGCCCCAAGGACCAATTTCAGAAGATTTTAAGCGACACCCGACCAAACCCACTTTGTTCTTGTCATCAGACCTCCGCCGGGCCAATCCTGGTGCCACCCCTGCACTATAAAATGACTATTACTAAATGTTTGGTGATATATATAGTACAGAACACATTTTTTTTTTTTTTTTAAGCTGACTTCAAGGAAAGATTATTAATAACACCATAGTAAAAAAACAATATGCAAACATTCCGAACTTACAGAAGGTGGATTAGGCTGCTTTAGACTTTTGCTTGTTCAAGGGAGTGGGGGAAACATGTTGACTTCTGGGAGACTCCTACTGGACTTGGCACCCCTTTTTCAGTGGTTGGCAAAAACAATGTGACCAGCACAGGAATGAGGGTTTTTTTCAACTCGCAATCAAACCATTAAATATGTTGCTACCGACCCCAGGGAAAGGTTATTCGTTCCTGAACTAATGTACAGTACTATTACTACTATAGAAATAAATACAACATTGTACTGTACATGTAACATAAGTTATTACAGTATAAACCTGTCTGGTGTGACTGTATCAAACATTCAATAAAAACCAATTTTTACTGTTACATGTTAGTGAAAATATCATATACAGTAGTATTAAATTAAACTACAGTAGTGTATAGTACGGTATTATGAAACTTAAAAATTGGTATCAAAGATTATAGCCTTTAAAACATGTATAAATAAAGACAAATGGTTGACTTTTTTTTCAAATCTAAAACTATTTATAAAAGAAAATACTAAAAAATGATTGGAATATCCATGTAATGAAAACATTACATCTATAACACACAAAGGTACTGTATGCACTTTAGACAAGTAAAAATATACTGTACTCGCGTGAATAAGCGCCCCTCTCGAATAAGCGCCCCTCAAAAAGTGCAAAAAAAAATTATTTTAAGCGCCTGGGCGCTTATCCGCGTGAGTACGGTAAATTAGTTTCTAATTTGAATTTATAAATGAGAAAGGTCACATTCTTGGCCTTTGATGTAGAAAACACAAATATTCACAGCACTGATAGGTAAGAAAGTAATTGCTACAAGTATCCAGCTACAGCAGTAAATCTCAATTTATAATTTACATAATTACTACAAAACGTATTAAATTTGACATTGCATTCTTAGGCTTCGAAGCATGCACCTTTTTGTCCTTACAAACCTATGTCCCCTTTTTAGGCCTTCAAACATGCACTAAGGCCTAGCCTTGAGCATAAATCCCTACTTTATATAAGTAATACCTTTAGGATTTATAGTTTACACTCTTGGTCCATAATGCAATGCTTATGAAACCAGCTGATATATCTAATATTATTTCAGTGTATCATCATCATCACATAAAGCAGTTTTGGCTCATTACACCCTCCCACGTAGGTTTGCAATAGCAGCGTACTTTGCTTTTAACATCATACCTAAGTAGAATTCAGAAAGATAAAATGAAGAATGAATACTTTGAAAGATGCTTAATGGAAAACAATCAAGAATAATAATTTTAAAATCAATATATTTTAGTATATAAAATCATAGTAATGAATACTACAATGGACCCTTCTGCTAAAGCTTTGCTCCTTGCATATTGTTGTTAAGGTTTCGCAAAACTAAAGTGTAAAAAACATATGCAAACACATGCGTTAATGAGACAACACATGTGCTTGTGAGACATGCACATATTCCTGACCCTCTGCTGTGATTGGTCGGCTATTAAATATGATAGACACTGCAGAAAGGTCCATATAGTAATAAAGTTATGTTATCATCATTTGCAGGGCATTTTAAAAGCTACAACAAGTCCTTACAAATGTTCTTTTCAACATGCTAAGCATTTCAATCTCTTACCCCATAAGTGGAAGTGCATCTGGACCAGAATGGTAACTATACTGGTAGGGATCTGGAGAAAAATCTGACTCCATTTGTATTCTTGCCTGTTCTAATTCATCCTGCATGGTAAGCCGACTGTCGTCAGAGGGCGCTGCCCAGTAATCATTGCTCTCAACACCTTGTTCCTGAAAAGAATGTCACATATTTGAACTTTTTTAATTGGGTCTTAAAATCTATATCATAATTATAAATTTTTTCTCACTTGCACTCTAGTGTACATTAAACGTTCACAATAAATATGTATTTACAATATGCAGGACAAGACATTTGATTATTAATACTTATTAGCATTATACGTTATCACTACAGTACTTTATATTTTGATTATTTTTTAACAGTATCTATATTGAAAGTTAATTTGGATATTTTCATTGAGTAAAATGATAAAACCCAATAGAGGGCGCTATACTCATAATTAGAATGTGTTCAAATAGCATATTGATTTCTTTTTCAGTACCTTCAGTATTTGATTTTTAAAATACTGGTATTATATGGCTGAATAGTATTAAATATTCTTATAGTTTTCCACACATTTCACTATGGTGAACTTCAATTTCTAAAAAACCTTAAGAAATTGACAAAAATTTACAATACAGTACATCACTTTTTAAAAACTCACTTGTATAAACTTAAGTTGTTCTTCCAATTTTTCAGTACGCTTGATAAGAAGCTCTCTCTGTTGTCCAAGTTCTTGTTGTTTTAGATGCTGCTGTTGATAGGAATTTATATGTTGAATTTGCTCATTGTTCAAAGATGTTTCTTCCATTGCAACATCACTGTCCATCATTTCTATAGAATTTTCATTTGCTTGAGTATCTGTGCATTGTGTTTGTTGCATAACAATATTTACATGCTGTGTGTTTGAGCCGTTATGCTCTAAGTTCTTTGAGTTTTCTAGCCATTCATTTTTAGCTATACTTTGTTGATTCCTTTGACCTTGTTCTAATGGTAAAAAGCACATCTTTTTAGCATATGGAATAACCTGAAAGTTCAAAAAGTAAGAATTAAAGATAAAGTAATAATATTGTTTTTTGTTGAGTTGTGATCACATGAAGCTTAGTGTGTATGCTGTACATTGAAAACAATTCTTCAACCAATATCAAAATCTACAGTATTGAATAGGTAGGAAGATCACAATGTCACTGATGACTTCAAAATACAGAAACAAAGGACTGAACCATAGCACAGAATACAAACATCACAAACAAGAAAATAAAAAGAAAATGCTTGCTGAAGAAAAATAAATTCTAAACCGTTTCCTTGTTTTAACATACTGTACTTCCTTGGGTCATATCATAAATAATTTACACTGCCCTAGTTTTATGTGGTTTTTAATTTCCAGGTTTTACCGTTTCTAATGGTCCATGGCAGTCTTATGGATGCATTGGCTTGTGTAATCCATCATTTTTTCAATAATCATTATTTGTGTTTTTGACAATTAACAATTTTTATGAAAACATTTAAATACATAATCAATTTAGAACATGGTTGGGAATTGAATAAATTTTAATGAAATCCATATTGATGGGTATTAAAAATGCAGCAGCTAATCATCAAAGAGTACATTAACCCCCTTTCAGTTATCTCAGAAAAAGAGACAAACAGGCAATAATTATAATACATTACACTTTACAGTTTGAAAATATAAGAGGTTTGTCATAAATTACACTCGTCAGGAATTTTATTAGATTTACGTTTTTACTGTTCTGTCACTCTTGCTTAACAAGAGTGACAACTGTAAGAGTGACAGTTGCCTGTTTGGAGTTGGTAATTCTCTTCGAAGCAAAATGAAAAAATATATGTATTGTTTATTGGATATGAATATTTTATTGACTTACATTTGCTGGTGTTCTTTACAATATATAGGTATAAAATACATGTTTTCTGTGTGTTATCTAGGTTAGGCTCCAACTCACAATATGCGTGATTTATATTGGACTTGAGTGGAACTAGGCCATGTGTTAAGTTTACAGAACTATCATATTAATAAGAAAATAAGTGAGGACTCACCAAATCAAAGATTTTATAAATTATATTACAAATATTATTATCTTATTTATCTATTTTATATACAGTATGAAAACTATGGCCATACAAGTCAATTTTTGAAATTACAGGATGCAATCACATATGTTATACATACTACTGTACAAGCCCTGGTACTGTACATTGGCTACCAAGTAGGATGTAAAGGATTTGTAATGCCCTGCCCAGGTACTTTTCACATAAGGGCAAACAGAAAAATTAATTAGATTATCACTCCCCCCTGCATCAAAAAATCTGGAAATATTGATGCAGAAATTTAAAAAAAAAATTTTTTTTGCCTCATCAATTATTTCAACAGCATAAAAATAACAATGCAATTTTGTGACTTAAAATACATTTTCTTTAAAAAACTATAAAATTAAACCAGCTTTTATACAATATTTCCTGTTACAGACCAAACATAAACAGTCCTTCCCTCATTGATACAAACAAAAGCGAAATAATTTTCTTTAAAAAACTATAAAAAAATTAAACCAGTTTTTATACAATATTTACATACAGGCCCGGGTACAAGCCAAATATGAACAGTCCCTCCGTCATCGATAAAAACAAAAGCGAAATAATTTATTGTACCGATTAAAAAAAAAAGAGTGATAAAATCTAATAATTTTTTCTATGTGCCCCAAACATACACAACATCAAAACCCACCAATGAATCTTGTATCACTTGTTCTTCTTTGTCAGTGTTTTTCCTTTTGGTACCATACAGCTGAAAACAAGGCTGTGATGGTAATGTCCAACTTATTTCTGACACAGGCATGCTGATGATTACTCTCTTTATACCTTAATTAATTAAATAATGAAAATAATCTTTGTAAGTAACACAAAAAATACAGTATGTATGATACAGTATGATTTATAGGGCTAGCCAAGGCTAGTTAATAAGTAGTTAGGCCTAATTAAATATTTTCACAACAAACTGCAAATTATACGTCATATACGAAGGTGTTAACTAGGCTGTAAATCACTGATCGAGGCACGCTTTATTCAGGCCTTCACAAACACAAAGGACTCGGCACAATCATGCACCAGTCACGGAGATTAAGTACTAGTAGTCTACTGCGCTTGGCCTAAGCCTGGCTAGGACTCAGAAGGCGGCGGCGGAGTAGGAAATGAATCGGCGAAAAATAATAAACACTACTGTACTAATTAGATTCTTAACGACTGAAAGTCCTATTACTAGTAGATAAATAGCCCTTATATTTAACTAATGCTAGTTCTTATGTGCATAGAGTTATTAAACATACATACCGATGTAAAAATCAAAATAAGCACGCACAATTAGACCGCTCTTTGTATGAGGTTTGTTCATAAACGAGCGGTTCAAAATCACGATGGAAAAACCGTAACAATTAGCCAATAGAAACATGGCAACAAAAAAGGTCGACGAGGTCAATTTCATGCTTCATTACTTTCTCTACTTTCATAACAGTACATACGGAGTACGTTCGTCCATTCATTCATTCATCTTTTATTTCGGAATTTCATGTCCAAAAAAAAAAAGAACAACAGTTAAACCAATACAAATATAATACAAA